AATTTTTCTTTTTGGAGCGGTGTAGTCCTGCTGCTTCACTCATTTGCTTCCTGGCTGTTATTTGTTTTCACAGTCAAATGGATTCAGGTGGCCATTTACTTTCTGTCTGTGAATCAGACACATGAAGTGACAATATAAAGACTATATTTGCTTTTAAAGTGGCCAGGTCTCTTCATGTATGGTTGGAAATGAGAGAAGAAAGTACTTTTCGGCTGGAAAGTATGATAGATGGCTGTGGAATATGAGTGGTCTGCTCAGAGCTGGCATAAGGTCCGCAGACCACTAGAGAGAGAGAGAGAGAGAGAGTCATCATTACGGCCTAATGAGCTCCACTCATCTCTCCAGTCAGTTTTATCAGTTCTCCCCAGTCGATATATTTAGAATACATATATTCATAGTAGATCTAGTAAATCTCAAGCAGATGGTCAGCAATTTTTTTTGATTTGTTTCAAATAGCATGCGGTTATTTCAGTAAAATACTTTAACGCATATGGATACATGCAGTTGTCAGACACATTCCGGCTAGTTGTTCTTGCAGTTAGGTTAGTCGGTCTTCCTGCTGTAAAAGACCAGCATGAATTTAAAGCTGTTCCAGGCTGGTCTGATATGAGGAAGTGTTGCTGTAAGCTAGTTTAAGAGCCTCTTTGGGATGCCAGCATCCCTAACACAAATATATGCTGTTGGACGAAACCCCTTTTGTTTTGAAATTTTGTCACTTAACATGAACACAAGTACATAGTAGGTTGTACCTGGTACAACTTCCTGTTATGGAGAAATGGGGTGAATAGTCAGGACACTTTCTGTTGAGTTTTGTTTCATTTACTTTATTTTGATTCCATTTCATTTCATTTTCCAGGTTGTAAAGTACCTAATTCTTTCTACATATTGTTGTTCATTCATTATCAACTACAAGCTGCTGCTATAGGGGGTAAAAACTATTTATGGGCAGTGGAGGGGGGTTTACAGGGCTATAAGGGAGCAGGTCAAAGTTTCTATTTAGTCAACATGGTCTGAGTTCATTCAAAAACCTATTTTGCGTTATTACCGACCTTCACTGCACTGCACAGGGAGAGCTGTTCCTACCCCTGCCCACAGAAACACCCCCCGTGAGACTGAACAATGTTGGCCACAAGGGTGTCCATCTATGCTATGGATATTATTTGAACCAAGCCAGATCAGATTAGCAAAACTACAATAGAATGGAAATTGTTTCCATGAAAGACGTTTTCTCAAATATTGAATTTTGTTATTATGCTTCAGGGTTCCAGGACTAACTTTTAGTTAAAGTGACATCTTTGAAGTATGTATGACATTTACTTTTAAAATGTATTTCTGTACTTTTTTCCACACAGAAGACTGAAAGCACATCGTGAGACGCCTAGTAGATTTCACATGTCTAAACTCAAATGCATGCCTTGTGGATGATATACATTAGATAGGTGTGAATTATTGAGATGAGGGCGGGATGGGCACATGCAAATAAGTCTCATTTGGACCAGAGCAAAGTTTTTGAATGGAGCTCTAGCAGCTCTTGGTGAAAATGCCTCCATCTAAAATATATACTGCATGCATACATGAATGACAATAAGATCGCTCTTCTGAGCATCATTTGCATCTTTATATTGCTTTTAGGTGACTGGAGTGGGTCTAAAACAAGTCAAGCTGTGAATACCGAGATCACCACAAATAAATGGGTAAATGGTAAAGCATGGAGCTCCATAAATATATTGTGCTGTGTCAATCAAAATGGTCAGGTTTAAAATGTTTGCTTTAACATACAATCTTTAATATGTTGCTAATATGATAATTTATTTTCTCATAGAACATCTTAAAAGTCTTCTGTAAGTTAACCGTTTTGTATTATTGATAGTACCATGATATTAAGATCTGATACCATCACTTCATACAACAGTATTTTATTGTAATGGATGGATACAAATATTTGCTGATTATATTTTGTGCAATTTTATGCAGTCAGCGACTTTCTTTTGAGTTTATATACCGTAGTATAATATAATAAAATAATATAATATATAATGAAGAAAATAATACTTTTATTCAGCAAGGACGCAATAAATTAATCAAAAGTTACAGTAAAGTTTTTTTTTTTCAAAATAAATGCTGTTCTTTTGAACTTCTGAAAACCATGTATCACGATTTCCACAAAAATATTAAGCAGCATAACTGTTTTCAACATTGATAATAATACTTGTGCACCAAATTAGCATATTATTATGATTTCTGAATCATGTGACACTGAAAACTGGAGTAAAGATTAAAAAAATTCAGCTTTGCATCACAGGAATAAATTACATTTTAAAATATATTAACATACAAAACAGTTATTTTAAGTTGTAATATTTCCCCATATACAGTATTTGTGATCAAATAAATGCAGCCATGGTGAGCATAAGAGACTTTTTTCATAAACATTTAAAAAATATTGTATTATTTTTTTATATTATGTTATATTTCAAAAGAAAGGGTGCTGACTGTTTCCATAAACTAGCACAACAGAGCAAAAAGTCTCTTTGGGTTAACAGTTGATGAGGCAGTAGTGTGTATTAACATTTATAAATGACAGTGTGCATGGCTTTGTAAAAATGATAAATGCCTTGCAGAATAGTGGTCTGATAAATCGAGCCTGGAAGCATGGTGGTGCAGGCTGACCTGCGAACAGTCGGACAGGTAATTGGTTGGATCAGGGTGTAATTCAGCTCTAACAAATCCCTTTCACAGCTGGCACTCTGTCTGAGGCGGGTGACTCTAGGGGGATGGGTGAGAGACCGATAGAGATTGAATATAATGATGAGGTAGTGGAGGAATTGGGCAAGAGCAAATGAAAAATAGCGCCCTTGTTGGTGAGATTCTTGGTACATCTGGGGACCAGTGAATAAGGAGGTTTAGGGGGACAGAGGTAAAGATGAAAGAAGGGGACAGCTAACCAAAAGAAAGACAAATACTGCAAAGTGACATGCAAAGTTTGTCACATCATGGCATGAGCGTAGTTTTGCTAATTTTGACAACCTACAGGTTTTGATGATTGAAATGTGTATATTTTGACCATTTCGAAATATAACACCAGCGTAACAGAGCTCACTATTAAATGAGTTTGTAAAGCGAGTCTCTGAAAGCCAAAGCCAGCCATGTATTTGTCATGCAAAGCTGTTCCCCTCCTCCTGCCCTGTCTGCCCGAGCACAATGCATCTGCCTGCGTTCCCAGGCTCCACTTGCTCTCTTCAGTCTGGGAGGGGGAAGAGAAGCCCACTGGCCTGACCAAACTGACCCTTGTCCTACTGCAGCTAACTCACTCACAAGCAGCTGGCCTCGGACCTCCGCTGATCATCAATATTCATGCCTCATACAAAATTCATTCTCAATATCACAGACGCCGAGGCCTGAGCTGTCCCGAGCACTGTGCGCTAGCTGTTACTTTCTTGTTTTATTTTAGGACATTTGTGACGAAACAGACTTGTTAAAGAAGAAATGTGTCTTACATAATATTTGGAATGACTATGAAAGGATATTCTTCATTTAAGAAGATAGCTATATGTCTTTATTAAAAAGCAGACTAATTGGACAGTACAAAAGTAAATAAATAATGTTTGAAGTTACAAAATGCTAATTATTCTGTGATTTCATACACACAGTTGTTGACATAGTTTAGCAACAACGTCATGCAAAATATCTTTGCATTGTACCTCTGAATTCAATGGAATGTGGCTCTACCTGCTCATGTATTTTTGTGTCACATAAAATTAGGTAAATTATGGGACCTGACATCCGGATATACATCTGACTATAGTGATCAAGTTTATACATTTAAACCAGGTTGTTATCCGCTTGAAACTGTTTCAATCGGTAGCTATTATACTTCTGTGCATTTCCTGCCTAGTGAGGCAGAATGAGTGCCTTCAAAAGGACAGCGTAGCCGAGTTGTTTTCATCCCGTGTGCCACTGCTTTGTCTTCAAAGTGAAAACGCAGGCAAATTCCAGACCAAAAGCTGGTCTGTATCTATATTGTTGTAGATTTATTTAGGTTTTTCCTAGTCTGCACTTGGTTGGCATTTTTGTCTTGTGATGAAAGAGTTGTGCATTTCACAATGGTGAGGGTATTCACTGTCAACAAACATCTGAAAAAAGAATGAGGAATCGGTTTTGTCTAGTTAGTTTCCCTAAAAGTGACTGCAACGTTTTCATAATACTTTGATGGCATTATAAGCACATCAAACTACTCATGTATTTTTATAATCAAATAAGCACATTTTAAATAGCCTATGGAATCCATGAGAACACAATATTATTGTAAAATTCAGTCTGATAAATATGGACCCTAAATGGGTTAGATTTAATAAAGTGAAACAGCCCTGTTTGAGATTAACAATTTACCTAGTGTATATTATTTTATTACTTGCATATCGAATTATTTTTTACCCTGTTGTCATACAAATTTATGTTGTTTAAACAGTGTTGGTTTCTTAAACTCTTTGACATAATTGTCACTTTTGTTACCATCTGTTTGGATTACGTGTTCCTTAATTATATCATTCTGGATTATTTGTCTAATTTCTATTACGAATTATGTTGTTTTATGTCAACTATGAAACAATGTTGTTATTCTCTCTATAACCCATTACTTATACATTTCCCTCCAATATTTGACTTTATATCACGTTGGGAAAAACACATCTAGCAAAGCCATCGTGACGAGTCCTGGTTGACCATCAGCTCTCTGGCTGTGTTTCAAAACCTAGCGAGCTGCCTAACTAGACAGCATCTTTGGGCATTAAAATCAGTTCAACTTACGCATTACTCTTCGCAACTGTTTTAGAACGATACTTCCCAATTTCCTACGATGTCCAAAAATACCGCATGTGCTCTTGAATCGCAAAAATGCACTATAGGAAGGCGGTTCAGTAAGTTTTGAAGCACAGCCTGAATGTGGCCACCATTTTGGAGGTGAGTGTGTAGAGTTGGAGGAAGTGCTCTGAGAGCAGCGCTTGAGCTCTTCCTGTAGTTACGGGGATGAATGCATGAATGCGAGAGAAGAAAATGGCGATCGAGCAGGACAAATGTTTCCCCTCCTAGACTCTGCAAATGTGTTGATTTTCTACAGCCTTATTATTTGCTTTCATTTCATCTCTGCTGCACTTTAAACTACAAGAGGTGAGTTTTTCGAACCGTTCGTGTGTGTGTTTTTGTGGTTTCCACCTTGTAAGAAGCATACATTGATCCAGCGTATCTGCGATATAACGTTACGTTATAAGCTGAGCTCAGCACTGGAAAGACACGGTTAAATGTTTTACTGTTGTATGCGTTTGCATGATAGTTACACATTTTAATTGTTTAGAAAACAATAGTGTCTACTGTCTGCATGGTCTAAAAAGCACAAATGCATCTCTGTTGTAGATTTCTTGAACATTGATCTCCTGCTTTCACATAATGGCATCGAAGTGACATTGCAGTCGGCGTGTATACAAATATAAAAGTCGAGTTAATGAATGTAGTTACTATATTTAAATATCAGGTTTCGTGCGTTCTGAAACTTTACTGTAGTGTATTTTGGAACAAATGTGGATGTTTAATTCGACGTCCTGCAACTTTTCTCTATGTCGACTTTAGTTGGTCAACGTTAACGTAACGTTAGCTGGAGCATTCGCTCGATAATAAAGCAACAATTAACGTTACGATAAAATCCGATAATGTAACACTTGCGAGCAATTAAACCATTGTTTGATTCGTTGAGCAGTTAAGGTAAATGAGAGCCTTTAGTAGCCAGCTGGTTTGTTAGCATTCTTAGCTCAGCTGCTGAATTGCGCACATCGAGTAAAATGGTCTTTAATAACTGGATAACAGTTAGTTTTCATTTTTTTCAACCGATTCATTCGCTTTAATAACATCATGCAGAGGCCAGCGTTAAATGTTGTGTGTTTATTTTGTCTTTAGCTTTTAAAGTACGCAGTCACGGCAGCTAATTCAGAAGGAAATTTTCAGAGAAAAAGCATAGTTTCCCTTTCCCAATCCAGAATGAAGGAAATACAGACATCCTGAAGTCTCTCTTTGAGAGAAAAAGTTGTTTAGAAACGTGTTGAGTGTGTAATATTGTAATGTTTTTAAGGGCAGGTCAAGGTTGCTGCTGTTAGCAGCAGCAGTAGCAACTGAAGCCAGAGGTGGGGGAGGAGGAGGTCTCCCTGCTTTTAACCCTCTGAATAAATTATAGCAAATGTTGAACTTCTTCATTTGTTTTGTTTTTTTAGAAATATATTTGTATTATTTAAGCTCAAAGGTTAGCTAATGAATGTACAATTAAACAACAAAAATAATATGATCAATAAGTTATGACAACTTATGTTTTTAACATTGCATTAACTCATCATAATAAGTTAAGCAATTTTAAACTTTTTTCAAAAGTTATACAAGATTCAACTAATATTTTAAGTCAGTTAAATGTAATCTAAGCTGAAATGACTTAAACATCCAAGTTGAAATTTAAGGCAGCACCTTTTTTTTTTTTTTTTTTTTTTTTTTTTAACTGCTCTTTCTTTAATGGTACTGAGTACTCTGTGACTTACAATCAGAAGTGTATCCATCCATCTTTTCCTCATTTTCCTATTATGTAACTATGAAGAGAGGCATAATGAGTTGATTTTGGTTTCACATTGTAGTGTGTGTTGTGACGGGATGTTTGTGGTTGCCATCAGATAAATGGGGGGGGGGGTTCTAGATCTATTCTATTTTAGATTGACTGTTTCTAGGCTGTATAGTGCCAAAGCATTGCCTTGTTGTCATTGCACACTTCAGTGTCATTCACACAATATAGTCTCATGTCATGTACAAGAATGAAAGGTGCCGTTTGCATTCACCTCCATTTAGTTAAATACCCTATATCAGGCTTGGCTATATAATCCAATTCCACTCTGATTCTGTCAGATTTATGCTTATGCAATAACTATTGGTTTAGTCAGCATCATCTAGGAACTAGAGAATGAAAAGTGAATGTCAGTTTATTAGTTTAACAGCTCTGTTTTATTTCCTTATAGATAATTGGATGCTATTGCCACCAAAGACATTGAGGAGAAGCAACACAAGTCAGTAAGTATTTTCATCTCCCTGTAGTCATTTTCAGTAAAGTAGATGGGTGCTTGGTTTTTCTGAAGCTTGATCCTTCTGGGCTTTTCCTATTCATTCCTATGCTGGGCGGCGCTAACAAAGCAGAGTCAAAGCAGCTGCTGCTGGTGTAAGCAAATGCAGTTCCGTTTGAATTAAAGGGGTTCCCAGTGCTGAGTAAGCTTTGCTTTTTTTAAATGTTCAACAAAAACAGTGTTTGTGTAGCTCTTTGTGACGCTACTGTATTTCAGTCATGAGTCACAAAACCCTTACCTTCACTGTTTATATCTGCCTGAGTTTGTTTTAATGTTTATGTACCAGATAAAAACTACTGATCAAGACATCAGTAACACTTTCAGTTTTATTTGTTTTCGTCTTGTTGTGATGCCGAGAAGCATCAGTATATTGCTTAACTGGTTTGCTTTTAACTTCAAGTTAATCATAGACAGGTTTTGAGTTCTTCTTATCAGAGAAATGAACATTGCCCCTGTATGGTCATAACCACGTCCACACCTAACAATGCCAGGGACTAGATCATAACACGTTTGCTTTCACTGAGTTTGATGGCATATTGTTGTATATTTCTAGCATTTACGCCTAAAAAATTTGTTTCTTGTTTCATGTCATTGTTTTATGATTATTTCACAATGTGCTTTTCGTCTGTTGATGCATAATGAGAAAAGTGTCATTTAGATCATCTTAGTGACTCAAATCTAGGGCTCCATGATGTGGGTAAAAAATCGAATTGCTTTCTGATAAAGATTGCGATTTAAAAAAAAAAAGCTGCAGGTTTGCTTTGATTGTTTGTAGGGCTACACAATTTGGCCAAAAGTTAAATTTTTATATAATAATAATAATTATGCATACTAAATAGAAATAGTAAACAAAATGAGATTGTATTACTGTAATATTTCACTGTAAAATAAAAAATAGGGTATTTAAAATTATTTTACAGTACAACTGTAAAATAACAATACTAATAGCTGTCTTCATTTCTTTTTCATATGTTAAACAATCAAGCTTTTATGTTGGTGCAGGGAGGCCTTAAAAGGAAAGTTCACCCATCATTTACTCACCCTCATGTCATTCCAAACCCGTAAGACTCGTTCATCTTTGGAACACAAAAGAACATTTGAATAAAATCTGAGCTAGTTCTGTACTCTCCATTGACAGCTACGCAACTACCACTTTGACACTTTAAAAGTTTAATAAAGAGATTCTAATGTGTTACGCAGCACGTTTGAGCTTCAACAACAACCAATGAGGTTCATTCTAATGTGTTACGCAGCACGTTTGAGCTTCCGCAACAACCAATGAGGTTCATTCTAATGTGTTACGCAGCACGTTTGAGCTTCAGCAACAACCAATGAGGTTCATTCTAATGTGTTACGCAGCACGTTTGAGCTTCCGCAACAACCAATGAGGTTCATTCTAATGTGTTACGCAGCACGTTTGAGCTTCAGCAACAACCAATGAGGTTCATTCTAATGTGTTACGCAGCACGTTTGAGCTTCAGCAACAACCAATGAGGTTCATTCTAATGTGTTACGCAGCACGTTTGAGCTTCAACAACAACCAATGAGGTTCATTCTAATGTGTTACGCAGCACGTTTGAGCTTCAGCAACAACCAATGAGGTTCATTCTAATGTGTTACGCAGCACGTTTGAGCTTCCGCAACAACCAATGAGGTTCATTCTAATGTGTTACGCAGCACGTTTGAGCTTCAGCAACAACCAATGAGGTTCATTCTAATGTGTTACGCAGCACGTTTGAGCTTCCGCAACAACCAATGAGGTTCATTCTAATGTGTTACGCAGCACGTTTGAGCTTCCGCAACAACCAATGAGGTTCATTCTAATGTGTTACGCAGCACGTTTGAGCTTCCGCAAGAACCAAAGAGGTTTGTTCTCGCACGCCAAGCAGGTTCTGGTTGAGCTTCTGTTTATGTTCACTGATCAATGTTTATGTGAAAAGCCTAAATTCAATCTTTAAATCATATAAAGCGAACATGCCTCTTCAGAAAATTTTGGACTAAACTGCTCAATTCATATAGATTAGTTTTACGATCTCTTTATGAATTTTTTGATGCGACAAAGTCGTTGTTGCGTAGCTGTCAACGGAGGGACAGAAAGCTCTTAGATTTCATAAAGATCTTATCTTGTGTTCCACAGATGAACGAAGTCTTGCGGGTTTGGAATAGGGATGGGAATTTTTCAAAAATGTTAGGCTCATAAAAATCGAATATTAGTTTATTTAAATGACGTTTAATGAGAGGCTTTAAGTTTTTGTCACAAATTCTGAACAAGCTTACGATTAGGCAATATACACAACAAGCTTACTTTATATCTTAAGGTTTTCTTTTTGTTGAAAACTTTTAAACAATAGGCCTATGTGTAAACAAAAAAATATAAAGAACAAAAGCATTTAAGCTCAAGCAGCGTGAACGGGAAAAAACGCTAATGAAGCAATTATCGTGTTTATATTGTTACACGTTCATGTTGAGAAAAACAATAATATCCACATGTTCGAGTGAGAAGGCGCTGCGCCGACAGACGTTGCGGAGACCCAAAGATAATGTTGTGCTAACTAAGCAAAGTTTCTAACATAAGTGTCATTTCGGCTCACTCGTGGTACTGCTGCGCTTTCCTGCAGTCGTGAATGCAGTGAAGGACAGCTATCTTTTCTCATTCTACTGGTGTTTGGATTTCATATGATTTCTCATTGTTGAGGTGATATTATGATAACTCAGTTTCATTAATTAATTTGATTAAAAGTAAGATCATTTTCATCAAAGTAATTCCAAACTTTGCGAGGCAGACGACGACATTGCGATCAAATGTAATCGACTTGTTAACACGCTCCACAGCGCCACCCAGGGCATTTGATTATAACTGAGTTAGGGCTTGGGATTTATCATGGATTCACTGCATTTATGGCCAGAAACTTAGTAAATTAATAATTTTTCGAAGAATATTATAATAGATATATTATAAACATTATTTATTTATATATATATATATATATATATATATATATATATATATATATAAGCTTTAATTATAAAGATAATAATAATTACAGATTGAATACTTGACTACCGATATTTGTGCACACCCCTGAGTAAATGACAGAATTAAAAAAAAATGGTAAACTAACACTTTAAAGCTTCTCTAGTTGACAACAGCCGGTTTATAAGTGGTTGTCATTAGAAGTTCGTTAAGGTTGTTGATGCACGTTGTTCACAAATGCACACAATAAACAGCCCAAACTCAAGAGCAGAAGAGTTTGTGTGGAGCAGCAAATACTGCAAACTGAGCCGCTCAAGACACTGATAACAATGGTTTGTGAGCTGCTCGCGTGTAAATGCTGCGCTTCACACTGAAACATGCAGTGCAATTATTTATTTAAATAAATTGCAGCCTTTGCAGTTTAAAAGTTTAATTGTACCATATCGCTATTTCAATTCGTTTTGAAGGCCTACTCAGACCAACAATTTGTTACAATTATGTGATGCATTTATTTTTATTTATTTAAGGTCTTGCCGTGAAGTTACATGTGCTGGTATGATTTTGACTAGTCATCTTTTAGCTGTGCTTATTATGTCAGCGCTTCACAAACAGATGCCCCTGTCTTTGTGTTTGTGTATGGGAGGATTCTGTTGTTGAGATAGCCATCTGGTTAAACACTTTAAGGAGAAGAGGTTGGGGGAGGGGCAGGTTTGTGTGGCCTCAAGCTCAATCTTGATGGGCTGACTTTACCCCCTGGAAGTGGCTATATTCTACTTTTCCCATCAGATACTTGTTTGGCCCTCTCACGTATTTATGTGATGCTGTAGGCTTATTTTATGAGCTTGAAGGATGTTGAAACAGGAGGCAGTGTAACTCTACCCCCTACTGTTGGTAACTGCTCACCAGGCTGAAGTCGCAAAATTATCTCTTTGAGTGTCAGTCGTTTTAGCTGTCACTTGATGTGAGCTATACCAACTCGTTAATTTTTTTGTTGACTTTCTTAGCTTTTCAATGCTGTGGTTCAATTTGTACTAAGCAGTGTTGTAGTCGAGTCACCAACTGTCGAGTCCGAGTCGAGTCTCGAGTCCCAGTGTTCGAGTCCAAGTCCGAGTCACCAAAGAAGAGTCCGAGTCGAGTCCAAGTCGAGTCACCATTACCTGAGTTCAAGTCCGAGTCGAGTCTCGAGTCCTGTGTTCGAGTCCGAGTCGAAATTATATACACTTAAGCCAAATCAAGCAACATTTTTCAGGCACTCTTTCTTGCAGCTAGAAATGTGTATGATATCACTAGAATTGCCTTTGACCTTAGTTCAAATCATTGTCAACTAACTGTGGCACGATTATATTTATTTAATTGTTTAAATACATTTTTGGATGATCAGTCAACTGGAATGGATAAAGAAAACAAAAAAGAAAGCCTAATTGGACAGAGGAGGAGAAATGCATTCTTCTTGACAAATATGGTAAAAGAAAAACAATTTAGAAATTTTGAAAAGCAAACTAAATCCCAATGTAACTGCGGCAAAAAAAAACAGAAAATGCAGTGCTAAAAGCAGTTGTAACTCCGCAAGAAAAAAAGTGGTTGCGATGTGTGACAGTCAAGGTCGCCGTCTAGTTTGTTAGCTAAAATAAACATAATTGTGTTATTGTATGATAAGCGGGATTAAGCGCTGAGCGCATCAGACTTTGGCTCAGCGCCAGCCATAGCACGAAAGCACAGTTTAAATCTGGTACCTTTAAATGTCACGTCACTGTACATTCGCTCCTTAGTGGTCAGCTCAGCTGCTGCAAAGCGTGCCAAAATCGAAATTGCTGATTAGATGTAGAGGAATTTATCTAGTGTTAAATTAGTGATATGTTATCTCTCTCACGAGAATGCAGCGTAAAGTGAGTGACGTCAGTGAGTGTGTTGTCAAGCAAGGAGAGCGAGCGGTAGCAGCGTCTGTGAGGGAAAAAATAGATCACGGCCGGTCTTGG